TCTGAAAAGTTAGGTATATTTAAACTTTCACCATTAAAACAAAATGTAAAACCACACTCTGGTCAAAAAGAATGTAAGTTCTCAATGAAGCATGAAAAGGATACTTCTTTAAAATCAAATAAACCAACCTCCTTAGATTAACATCTTTGTGTTACTATAGTCACAGATAACTGAATAATTGTAAACATGTTACCTGGTCCTTCTTCTTCTTCTCCTTCAGTGGTTCAACTATACTTGATCTAGGCTTCTGATTTTTTGCATCAAAACTGATGTATAAACCTCCAAGCTTCTTGATATTCAAACCAGGGTCTATGCTACTGGAAAGATGTAAACTAAAGGAGAAATAGTTAATTATTAGAACACTGTAACATGCATGCAGCTAAACCTTCTACTGTCCTCTGAGGAAGATGAACGGAAAAAATATTTTTCTTATTCTTCCAATTAGGTTCAGTTCTGCAATGATTTTAAGTCTTCTTATCTAGATTATGTAATTCTGAAATAACAGGTGCAGGAAATTCATGCCATTATATGAAATAAGACTTATTAAAAAATACCTATGGAATCACTTCCACAAATTTTTCACATTAAGTCTAATGCTGGACTCTCACCTTTGATGTTATTATATTCTGTATAACTGAATTCTTAAATTTGCTTAACCTTGCCAGAAGAACTCATGACTAGCAATCTTCTATACACTGACAAGCTTGCTAGCTAAAGAGAAAAACCCCAAACATATTAGTAGTAAAAATACTATAACTCTTAATAAGAAGTATGTAGAAAATAGAATTAATTGTAGGAATATTTAATTCCTTGTCTGCATAACCATACTAGGAACAAAGTCATTAAACTTGGATAAGAAATGGTTTGATGATTGCATCCACAGGGTCATGGTCAATGGCTCAGAGCCCTGATGGTTCTATGAAATGTCAAGGTTACATTCACATTTGTTTCACTGCTTCATTCAGGCAGACTGTGGAATGTATCCACAAACAATGTACCAGGGCTGGTTTTGATGACAAGAATATTTAAAAGCTCTAAACTACAATGCAGAAAAGATGGTACTATCTAAAGAGGTACATCAGGTATTTCCTATAGCTTGAATGCTTATTAATACAAGCCCTTTAACAACTTTCTATCAAACTGTGGCTGATCTTGTATAATGCCTTCACACTGAATGCTTGGCTAAGCTTTCTCAGCTAAGACTTCTGGTCTACCTGAAAGTTTTTACTAGATTAAGACTTATTTATCCAACCTAAACAAGTATTATGCTTTAAACATAAGAAGGGATTTTAGCAGAAGCTGGACTACAAGAATTCCACCTAAATTATTCTGATTCCATCCTAGGTTTCACCTGACGAGTCATCATCCACAGCACAGCAACAACTGACACATAAAATTATATGCAACTGTTTAAAAAGCATTATCTAATCAGGCAACATGTAAGGAATTCACTGGACCTTTCGTTGTCTACATTCCAACTGGAAAAAAAAACCCCAAAACTGTGACCTGAATAACCAATTCAGTCAGCCTGACCAGTTTCACATTGTTTTTTTAAGCTGAACACATACAAGGCCTCCAGATGCCAAAAAAATTTTAGAGTTCTGTTCCTACTATATTCAAAACTGAAAAAAAATCCCGAAACCTAAATTTATGAACCATATTCATATTTTATAATATGTGCAACACCATTTTCTGCAGAAACATGACATACATGATAAGACTAGTCCCTTATTTATTCTGCACTTAATGTACATATTCTTAAATGAAATGCAGATTCTTTAGGTATTCCTAGCAAGATACTTACACATCAACCTTATTTTTCAACAGATCATCATCTTCATCTTTTTCATCTTCATCTATTAATTCCTCTTCATCCTCTTCCAAGTCTGATTCTTCATCTTTTTCACCTTCTTCATGCTTACTTTTAGCATCACTGTCTTGGTCTACATCATCCAGATAATATTTTTGGCTGGAACTCATGCCAGGCTCAGTATCAATTACAAAAAGACCTTCAACATGCAGTGAACCGCTTTTTAAAGATTTTTTGGGGGAAGGAGTTTTCTCATCTGACTTTTTGTAACACAGATTCTCATCAACTGTATCCATGTCTGCCACATCACTATTTTCAGAGTCATCATTTTCACTGTTGCTCAGAAACAATGCAAGAGAGTTATTATCACTGCTTGGTTTTTCACTGCTGTGGGACACCTCAAAGTCTTCCGTTTGGCTGTCACCGCTGTCTCCAACAATTTTGAGCTTCCTGCCTTTACCAATGCTTTCAGTTGTCTGTGCAACAGCCATATCCATTGATGGGCTGCTCACTGCACTAGCTTGCTTACTCTTCCTTAACTTATTATCACATGAGAAAGGCTGCTGTGCATCTGCCTCAGCATCTTCTCTTTCACATTCTGTGATTTTTTTACTTTCATCTGGTGTTACTTCTCCTTGGGATTCTAGAAATTGTTTGGGACTTATGCAGTCAGTCAAAGAAACAGACACATGCTCTAATTTTCCCTTTCCTGCAAGTATTTTACCGTGATCTTCTTGTATTTGGCTACATATTGCTTCTGAATGGTCTATCTCAACAGACTGTGTATTTTTTTTGTTTCTTTTCACAGGTGATTTAGTGTCACTTTGTTTTGTTTCTGTAAGACTGCATGCCACATCATTTAAAAGCTCTTCTTTTGTGTCTTCACTCCAGGCTGCACTAGCACATTTGCCTTTAGGTGAACTGGGTTCTTTATTACCATCAATGAGGGTGTAATTTTCCGTGTCATTGACAAGTTCTGCAGTAGGCCTAGAATCAGGAATTATGATGGGATCAGAATCAGGAATTATGATGGGATCAGATTTAATAGTGTCCTCAATTAAATTCTCATCTTCTGAAACAAACATATTTTTTCTCTCAGTCTGCTTAGTATTTTCTCCTTGTGATTTCATTTGCATGCTCCTAGTAATTCGTTTTGGAGTGACATATGGTTCCACAAGAGAACTTAGGCAACGTGATTCTGCATCAGAAGTATCTTCACTCTGGGCTTCACGAAGTCTGTGTGCCTGCAATTTCTTTTTACTTTGTCTGCTCCTCGTACTTGTGGGAACGTTAAGCATCTGGACACCAGAAACAGCAGAGGAACAAGACTCAGCTTCAGAGACATCATCTTCATCCAGAATCCTACTTAACTTATTTACAAAAGCTGTATTGTCATGTCTTTTTTTGTCAGCAGAATCTGGTTGATAAGGAATTACAATCTGTCGCCTCCGTGTTACTCTTACAAACAAAGGTGTCTGGAGACCAGACACAGAAGAGCAGTTTGATTCTGCTTCTGACACATCACCGTCAGCTTGGGGTTCAGCAACTGATTGTGCTGACAGAACAGCTCTGTTCTCATTCCTAGTGATCTGCATCTCTGAGCTATCACTGACATCTGATTTCATTTCTGCATGTTCCAATTCTTCAAACTGACATTCCTGAATCACCTCTGGCTTACAAACTGATTTAGTTCTTCTAGTCATCCTCCTAGTCACAGGAGTACTAATTTCAGCAGATCCCACCTAGAAAAGGAGTAAAAAAAAATATTATATTGACAGATAAAATAACTACATAAAAAGAATGCTATAAAAAACACTAACAATCTTTTCAAACAAATTACTTAAACTCACAACACACGTCTCTGTGGAAGAAGCCTTAACAAACCATACCTTGCTTATCTCTCTACAGTATTTTTGGTCAGGGCAGGAGAAGAAACACACACATCCTTTAAGAAATATAGACAAGTATCTCCTAATTCAAACAGGTTCTGTCAAGTTGTCATGGGAAGCAAATCCAGAAAAAACGTTCAGAAATATTCAAAGTCTTCCTCAACTATAAAGAACTAAATACTATCAACTATCAAAATGTGCCCCAAAATAGGGTCCAAAATCAGTTTTACGTCTACGAACAAACTGACCTCTCAGCAATCGCAGAACCAGGTATTATCTGCTAAGTATTATTTCAAGTGACAGAGAAATGCTGAAACATCTGTCATGCGAAGTAAAAGAAGCCTACCTTTAGCTGCCAACGCTAAATGGCCCAATGACCTCCGGCGGCGGCTCCCGCCCCGCAGCGCCGGCTGCGGCACGGGCACGGCCGCACGGACCGCGCCTCTCCGGGCTCCGGGCCGCGCTCCGTGCGGAGCTTGCCCCGCCCGCCCCGCGCCCGCTGCCCGCCCCGCTCACCTCCGCCGCAGCGGCGGGATCGCCATCGCCGGGGCTGCTGCTGCCGCCCGCCCGCGCCCCCGGCTCCCGGCGCCGCGCCGCCGCCCGCCTGGTGTTCACCATGCTGCTGCCGCCGCCCGCGCCCGCCCCTTCCTCCCGGCCCTCCTTCCTTCCTCCCTGCCGCCCGCCCTTCCGGGCCCCGCGGCGGGAAGAAGGTTCCGGGGCGGGAAGAAGGTTCCCGGGGCGGCCCCGCCCGCTCGGCCGGGCCCGGCCCTTCCCGGCCCCGTGACGCGTACCAGGTCGTGGTGCAGTCGCGGGGTGCCGGCACTTGGAAAAGTGTAAAATGCTGCACTAAAATGCCTACGGGAGTTTCAAATTTTAGTTCAACTTTCAAGGAAGGAAGGAAATCCCCTCTCACCCATCTTGATGCAAACCAAACAAATGAGATAATGTGGTAATTTGATAGTGTTATGTTAGTGGTGACTCTAGAAATGCCACGTCTTAAAAAGGTACTTTTCTACAGCAAGCAAACTATTAGCAGTTTACAGAAAGGAAATAAATCATCCCATTAGAGCAACGTTGTACTGGTTTAGCAGAGTTCCTGTTTTGTAGCATTTCAATACAAAAAAACGGAGCACACACGCAAGTCTGATGAGACACAGAATCAGCCAAATGCAGACAGAGCTCACAGGTAGTGGTTAAATCATAAACACACAACACAGAGCTAGTAGGGAAGTTTAAAATTAAACTAATGTAATTTTGAACTCTGATGCACACTGGCCCAACATTAAAAAGAAACCACTACATTTTTATTAAGAGAAAAAATCCAAACTTTTATTGATGCATTACTAGTTTCAATTCCCTGTTTCTCTCATTTGTCAAAAGAACTGAAGAAGCCAAGAAAATTTCCTGCTATTTGCCGCTACAAAAACGGTATTTGAGAACTAATGTACCTTGAAAAACCTTAATCATTAAACGTAGTGGAATGGATTATAGGAAGCTGACACTCCTGACACTACCTACAGGCATTCAAATTCCACTTGCTGCCTATATGAAGATTTTGAAAGATGTTGGTGAAAATTCCTTCCCTTACAGTCCAAATCTCAAAACATGTACAACAAAGTTAATGACTACTACCAGTATGAGGCCATGCCCCTGTCTGAAATCAAAATGTAATTTACTATTTTAGACACTTGGTATCAAAGTTCCTGCTAAACTACAAGTTGAACTTTAGGTATCTACTCTCATTTAAAGGCCAAGGAAAGGAAAAAGTCTTTTTGACAGAAGGACTACATTAACCAAAGCCTTGCCTTAGCTGCAGCAATCTCTCTGGGATTAAAAAGCCAATGTGCTAAACTGCTGCCAATCAGAAAGATACCTAACTTCAGGGTAAGCCTTGCTTCACCTTTCCTGAGTGGCACTCAAGCAACAGGTTTCCCAGGCAACCACACCAGAAGTAATTAACTTTAATGAACAGCATCAGCATTTACTGTCTATTCTACTTGGCTAATTGCTTGTGTAGTTCACAAGTATCAAAAAAACAAGCCACAGTTGAGAAGGAGACAGGCACAATTTTTGATTAGCAGATTTCCTCATCGCTTGTTTTCAAATCTTATTTTAAACATTCACTATTAATACATTTTCTATTTCAAACAGTAAAAATGCCATCACACTTGTGCGAACAATGAAGCATATCGAGGCACAAAGAAGCCAGAAGGAATTCAAGTAACAATCAGAAAGTAATTTGGAAGATGCATTTTCTTCTAAATCATAGGGGTCTTTTCTACTCCATTAAAAATAAACCAATTTTCCCACGCCCCAAATTAAACAGCTGACTTGCCTATATATACATATCAAGTAATAAGATAACAGCTTAATTTTTGGGGGTATTGTATCATTAAAAAAATGACAATTTTCTAAAAAAGCTAGTCCTTGAATGCTTGAAATGTGTATTCACCAGATAAGTATGATTTAAGAGATTTTAAAAAAACCAAAAAAATATGTTTCTCCGTACTACCTAATGGCAGCTAAAATATAATGATAATTTTTACAGTGAACTGGTCATAAAAAGAAAATTATTTTAAACTGTTACTCTATAGATAACTTCAATAAAAAAAGCCTCAAAATATTTCATATTTTGAATGAACCCATCAATAGTTAAGAAAAATAGCATTAAAACACTACAGACACTCCTACTGAATCACACTGAATAATTACAACTTTTGGTAGTTCATTATAAATGCTGTAAAAATCTTTCTGTGAAAAATGCAATGTTCCCCCATCCCAAAGAAATTTAAACAGCCTTTACAAAAAAAAAAAAAAAAAGAAAAAAGAAAAAAAGACTTTAAGATGCATTTCTTTTAGCTTGTAGGATATAGCCTTTGGACTTGATAATTCCTCTGCTTTTAACAATGACTGAATACCGCAGAAGCCATAAAGGAATCCACTTGTTTGCTTTCATGTTCTGGATGCTTTCCTGGAGAACTTCTTGGAAGCTTGCTTCACAAAGTAATTCTGAAGTTAAAAAGGGATATTTGTGCTTAAAACAGTATCATGTAAACAGCTGCAAAAAGCAACACTTAGAAAGAAAAGCCTTTTCCCACAGTCCTTAAGTAGTACTATATACCCCTCAGATCCACTCTTGCAGAATGCATTTAGGGTAAAACCAGCTGAATATTACACAATAAATCTCCAGGACGCTTTTTTACAACATTGAGTATCTCCCACAAAACTAACTGAGACTTTGGAATATCAAATTGAGTTGATCAGCAGAGTCATCAGTGGGAGAAAAAGAAAATTAGATTTGAAAAGCTAGCTAGACAAACCAGAGGTGAGTAAAGCATAGGGCTGAAATCAGCAAAGTACTGAGCATTCAGTTACCTCCGCAGTCACTGGAAAGTCAGCATTTGTAGTATCTCCCATAACGGGGTTCATAAAAACCATAAGCCCAGAAAGCTTTAAGAAAAATGGGCTTAAATGCCACAAAACAAAAAAAGAAGGCAAATACAAGTCCTCCTAGTTTCCTCTGGAATGTTCATCAAAAGAACAATGGTGAGGACTACTCACCAAAAATAGTCTCAATACTCTTCAGCTGACTATTACAGAAAAGTCAGGCTGAGCAAACAACACATGAAGTAATTGTAGATTTGTTTTCTATCAAATCCTCTTCTCCTTAATTTCATGACTTTCAGTGGATACTATTTATTAAAATGCAAGTTGCATTTGGACTTCAGAGGACATGGAAATTGAATGGAAATTCATCTTGTATGCTGCCAGAGCAGTTATAAATCCTGCTCAGACACAGATGAAATTAGTTAATTGTAACAGTGGTACTTTGAAGTACATACTTCATAAGAAATACTTCACTTACTTTTTTCTTTGGGATCAAGGGGAAAGAAAGGAGAAGGAAGGAAAAGTATCATCATGAATAATTAGTCATGACCAAGAATGTAGGGAAGGACTTAACTAAATATTGTTTAAGACTTTTTATTATTCCAATAACGTGTTAAGGTGTCCAACACTCTTAAGGTGTTCTTAAGTGAAGAAGACTGATGATGTTTGAGAGAAACTAATGTTATCTCCCAGAATATTGTAGAGAACTGGTAACTCAGTTATACAGCTCAAAGAAAAGCCTCCAATTTCTTCATTCATTTAGCAAATAAATCACTGCATTAAAAAGTGAAGAATTTACGACTCCTTTTGTAATAATGTTATTTTAAGAAGTCAAGACTTTGAAAGAATCCTACTTAAAGCATAGTAATTTTACATATCTAATATTACCAAACTACTCAAAAATCAACTGGTCATTAACATTTCTATGTAACCTATTTCACAAATTCCAGGCAAGTACACTTTTGTTTGTCATTTACTGGCCTTCAGCAATACATTTAACTCCATATTTTGTAGAAAGAAACATAGTACAAATTGCTCAATAGGTTGTTCTTCTATTTATTTTATTTTCTCTGATTAGAAGTATTTCAAAAAATTATCCAAGGCTGCAAGACTATTTCAAGAAGGGGTGGTGGGGGGGAGGAACCAACAGCAGTAACTTAACAGAAATATTTTATAAAGGAGAGACTTTTAGAATCCTTGGTTCAGGCCTCAAATATAACACATTTTGAAGTTCAGAAAAAGATTATTCCTGGTTTTCTATTGAATAAATGCATTTAGAAGTCTTCTGTTAACTTAATTGGCAAAGCCTTACCTTTGGGGTCATTGTGAGTTAGCAGTTGTATGTCACATTCTTTTGCAAATGCTGTGAGATCAGGTGGCATCACACAACAGGAAGCTAGGTTCACCTGATTACTACTTGGTTTCACCTGAGTAACAAAATATTTTTATAAGAAAAAAAATACTAATGTACTTTTAGCTGTTTCCCTCATGCCTTCTATTACAACAGATATTTTTCTTTGAACAATTTGTCTTTGACCATTGTTTTGAAGTCTCAGCAAGGCTAATTAATTCTGTGTGATTAATTAACGTAGGCAGCTGCAACACCTGCAATTCCTTGCAGCACATAGCTCAAAACAGGAGTAGGATCTAACTTCAAGTGCTTCCACAGCAAGATGAGTCCTAACTCACTGCACTCTGGCTTTCTGTCTGCTGTGCTCCCGAAACAGGAGCAGTTTTATTTCCCGCCCCCCACCCCCGCTCTCGTAAAAGCATTATAGGGATGTTAGTTTGAAAAAGACTTCAAATTTAAAAATCCAAACCCATTTTTTTAGGGCTATATTAATTTGCAATCTTCCATGCCTTCAGGCAAGTGCTTGATTCAGATCAAGTTAAAAGGGATGCTCTTCCACTGACTTTCTCCTCACAAACTGCATTCATGATCAGCATGCAGGTGGTCATTAAATCCTGCAACTGCCCTCTCTCAGTGTACATAAAACACTGAGGGTCACAAACATGATCAAATGCCTGGAGCACCTCTCCTATGGGAACAGGCTGAGAGAGTTGGGATTGTGCAGCCTGGAGAAAAGAGGCTCCAGAGAGACCTAAAAGTCCCTTCCAGTACCTTAAAGGGACTACAAAAGAGCTGGAGAGGGATTTTTTGCAAGCACACATGGTGACAAGACAAGGGAATAACTTTAGACTGACAAGGCAGGCTTAGCTTAGGCATGAGGAAGAAATTCTTCAATGTGAGGGTGCTGAGGCACAGAAAGCGCTGGATCTGCCTTTCCCTGGAAAGTGTTCAAGGCCAGGTTGGACGCGGCTTTCAGCAACGTAGTCTACTGGAAAGTGTCCCTGCCTATGACAGGAGGCTTGGAACTAAATGACCTTCCAACCCATCTTATGGTGCTATAAACTAGTCACTTTGGACAGCAAAGCCTTGTGCCATTTCACTCAGAGCCAGTCTTCCTCTTTACATTTACGCCTACCATTAAAACATAATTTTTCCAAGGGGAAATCCTTCCCTTTGTAACACAGCTTAAAGTGAAAATAGCTACGTTTTCAGAGTCACTGGAATAAATCTGAAGGTTTAAGAGTACTGTTTGTACTCCTTCCTAAGTATTAAAGAATCCAAAACTTTCAGTTCTTCAATCCTCAAACCTTCAGTACTTCAAAGAACCTGCTTCTGAACAGACCTGCCATTTCCAGCTGCTGCTGGTCAGAACAAACAACAGTCACATTTGAGCCTCCCCCACCTTGAACATTATGACCATACACAGAATGTGGAAAATAACAGGGCTAATTAATATTTTATATAAAAAAACATTTATAACAGAAGTTTGCAACAATGTGTCAACCAAAAAAGCGAGCAGTTACTCTGTCCTAAGAAATGCTACGAGTAGGAAGTTGGTTCTCACCTGTGCCCACAGATACAGCTGCTCTAACAGTGTTTTATCTAGGTCAGAGGTACCTATGGCAACAATCTTTTTGTTTTGAACTAGATTTTCAAGTTCTTTCCAATAAGGTTGCAAATATTCCAAGGAGAGGTTAGTTCCATCTTCAACAGGAGGTGGGACAATAATGACTGAGTCTAACTGAGCAATTCCGAGGGCAGAACATGCTGAGGAGAAAGAACAGACACTGCAAAATCTTTCGTCAGATACGAACATAAACAGCATGACTCTTCAAATTTAGCAAAAACCACACCTCCTGCTTCACTATGCTAGCTCTCCATTCACCATTTGAAACTCTGAGTGTATCTGAGGTCAAGAATAATAACACAACCTTTTTAGCAAAGATTCAAGAATACAGCTGAAGACCAAGATTCAGTTGTAGGTCGTGGGAAAGCAAAAAACAAAACCAACAGGAAACGAACAAAAGCATGAAGCTTTTTCCTCCTTTTTAATGTTAAAATGGTATTTTTCTCTGAAGACACTGATTACAAACAAGTCTCTATTTCTTCACTCTCAATTTCTTTTAAAATTTGTGGTTTTCACTCTGAACGATAACTCAAGAACAGGACATGGAAAACTACTTTATATGTGTGAGGAGTTAAACTACAAGCATACCAAACACAAAGACTTAATTTGCCAGAGAAAAGTGCAAGTCTTGGAGTCTCACTGAGCTTTAGGAAAAATGCAAGTCATGAGGCCTCTTAAGCACAGCAAACAGAGTAGAACTACCGAGCTAAAGTAATTATTTCCTTCAAGAGGAGGAGTCCATTACTGTATGTTTGACAAATGGTGGAAAAAATTACAATAAATAAGCTATTTACTGGGGTATCAATAGAGAATAATGGTATCTGGCCCCTTCTTCTTTCGTCGCCCCTTAAGCCCAACAAACTTCCAAAATAGTGAAGTTCATTGCTGCTCACAATTACTGCTACATAAGGCCAACACAACTTCATGCAGAGACATTGTATGGCATTTTCAGTAAAACCTAACTATTTCACCAGCTACTTGCAGCATTATTTTATTTCCTAAATAATCGCCGAAAGACTATGCAGTCAGTAGCAAAGTTTATGATGTTAAATGCAACTAACAAGAACTGGCAAGAATGGCTGTATCACTGCTATTAAAACATCACATGCCATTTGCTTTTTAACAAGTTTTGTGTAAAAGAACAGAAACTTGCTCCAGCTTATAGCAAGGAATCAGATTTGAGTTTGTGGATCCAAGGTCACAGTGATCCATTTAATAAGTTTACTGACTGAGCTACTGTGCAAATAGACCTGATTAACTAAGTCTCAATAGGAAAACAGGATATATACTTGTGACAGTGACTAAACACACCTCTTAGAAATAACATTAGAATCTTTTTCATCTAAGTTCTAGAGTAAAAAAGAAATCCTAACTTAAATTTGAGTTCCACACTTACCCAGGTCAACTGCGTCTCTGATCGATGAAGAATTTGATCCAACGATGAAAAGCTTTGCTATTTTCAAACAAACTGGAATCAATAACTAAAGAGGCCATGTATTACTAATATACAGCCATTTACTTTTGCTCTATGCACTATTAATGAGTTTTTGGGTAAAAGATTTTTTAAAATATACACCAGTCGCTTAAAAAATTGGAAAAAGCCCCAGTTTTTTGAAAGGTGACTGCTGAATAAAGACACCGTTCTCTTAAATTTTGATGTTGTTGTGCAGTCTCAGAACAAGAAATCATCGAGTTAGATGATGAGTAAGCTGTAAAGCATCAAGACACGAAGCAATTACAGTAACAACCTGTATAAGAACCCCAAATGTAACAGTACAAACAGACTTCTTCACAACTTACTGAGACTCAAAATGTACTAGTGTTAGTTTGGACTGCCTCCTTCAAGTTCATCATATTCAACCTGGAAAGATTATGCAAATAAATGTGCTTCCAATGCTATTTTTTAATTCCAGTATTATCTGAAATATTTTGCTTCAAAAATGTCAAAGACTCACAAAATACATTTAAAATATCTTGAGGTGATGTAAGTTAAACTAGAAAAATGCTGAGCCACTTTAAAATCTGAAATACAAATTCAAGACCTTCTTAGCCAATGTTTAAGAATAACAGCGTGCAATAGTGTAATTTGATTCTGCAATTATAAGAGAGAGCAAAAAAACTCCATCTATGAATATCCTATTAATGACTGCACATGAAACCTTTCCATGACACTGGATTTTTGACTATGTTCTTACCTGATACTTTCAACTCATCCCTTTCTTCAGGATTTATTTTTTCTATAGCTTGAGCTACAGAACATTCCAGAACCTCCAGTGTTTCCTGTAGTAAGTACATGAGACTTAGGAGCAATGTCAAGAGGAGACAGTAAGCTCCTGAAGAATGTTTTCAGCTAATTTGGAAAAAAAAAAAAAAGCAAGTGCCTTACTGCAGTTGGAAACAAAAATAGTAGAAAAATGCTAAGACAGAAAACAAGTAACCCAAGGCTTCTTGATCACTGAGGGGACATCAAAATAATGAACATATATGAAAGGCCCTAATACAGAAAATACAAATTACTGCTTAGATTTATTGGAACAAGACTCAGTAGTAAGTTTTAGAAGTGTAACCAACTCTCCATGTCTTTGGTTTCACACGTAACATGGATAAGATGCATAACACCTCCCCTACCTGATTTTGGTCTTGGCTGATCTTTGAGCTCCACTCAGTCAGTGTTTTCTGGATGCAGTCCCGCACCTACAAAACATTTTTTCATGTTGAAGCGTGGGTATGCTCCAGCCACACACAAACACAACAGTACAGAGATGTGTAGGACAGACTGCATGGCTGAACTAATGACACCATCCCACAGAAGATTCTTCCTTCACAGCTTCTAGCTGAAACTTGCTCAAACTAGTTTACTTACATATTTTTCTCTCCTCTTCCACAGAGTTTTAGCAGTAATACAAATACTGTACTTCAGTTATTTCTCAGACCAATACCATCTTAAAAGGAAAGTACAATGCTAAGCAAGCAAGAACTAAGACATGGGGTGGTTTGGGGTTTTTTTGGTTTGTGGGTTGTTTGCACAGAATTGCTAAGTTACAAAGCAGTCAGATAAGAGCATAAGCGCCATGACAAACTTTACAAACATGCGACTTTACAAACAACCACTAAATACTCATTGTATTAATTACTTCTCTTTTTAAGATGCATACAACCCTACCCATTTACTGCCTACCTACTCCATTAAGCAAAACAACTAATACTTTTAAATCTTTCATCACTGGAGGGGAAACCTACAGATCCTACCCCACACTTGCATTTTTCCTGCACCCACAGATGCAAAATAAACTCGACTAAGAGTCTGATCGTGGATTTTCTTGAACACAGTAAGACCTAAGTATTAAATCAGCTAACTAATTTTATACAGTACCAGTGCTGCAGCTGTAGCAGTGCTGCAGCTTCCCTCTGATCCATCCCAGGAGTTAAGTACAGGTACTGTCTGACTGCCACCTGCCACAGGTAGGTGTATTTTGTATCTGTGTGCATACCTACTTTGTGTACCAGTAAGCAGCCATTTCCTATGACACCTAACTCAGAGAGCTCTAATACCACACACAAACTAGAAGTTAACATTCCTGCCTGATATCAGATAATACAGGAACAATACTTCGTGAACACAAATACTATACATTCTTTCCATCATTTAAAACAGTATAAAAACCCCTGGACCCAAAAGGCAAGAACTGACCACCCCAGTAAATAGCTAAGCACAACAACCCTTTAATAAAATAACTCTTAATCCTATTTTGATACAATTTATATTATCTTTTCCTTTCTGAGGGCAAGTGAGACAGTACTAAATGTTTATATGCTGCTGCTTTGCGACTGTCACAGGACGTATTTCTATTGCGGCTCCTCTGCACCCGCCCCTGACTCCAAAGCACACCCCTCCCTTGCCCTCAGTCCATGTGGAAAGAGCAGTGTATGCCACTGCTTTGATCCGCTTTTCCAAACACAGCTGCATCTCCTAACGCTGGCATTCACAGCTCGCAAAATTTTACCTTACATTCTGCCACTGAGAACTGACTACACCAAAGAGAGGAGTTAAAAGCTGATTGCAAATGATCCCATTTATTTGCTTTTGGAAGTACATCAACTCTGGAAAGCCAGTGGATTCCTCTGTAAACAAGTGAATTTTAGTACCTTAACTGTTAGTCATGCACATTGGCCACTCTTGACTTAACAGCCCTCCAGAAACTGCCCACACAAGGGTGCCCATCATGACACACCTACGTCTTTGTTACAGAATCCAGCCCTATTTCACACAGATCACAGAATGTTTAATAAGCAACCAGGCCAAATAAAACTTTATGTGGTCAGGTTATGACCACATGACAGCTAAGCAAGAGTATGATGAATTCTTCCTTCGTGTTACATCATCCTCCCTGCCACCTTTCTTCCACTTGTGCATGATTAATATGCAACCAACCAACTTCTAGGTTATCACTAGTGTCACTACATAGCAATGATCAGCCAAACCATAGTTTTTCTCATTATTAAGTGACTATTCTGAGATTACTGTGTCCTCACAAAACAGCAAATGTGGTTCTGAAGTACATGGCCACAGGAACTCCAGACATTTTATGAGAACTATTCTAAGTATTGACACATACTGCTAAAGGCAATACTTTTAAGGTGTCAATTAAAAAGCTCTTTTCAACTTCATAACAAAGGATGACAGCTCTCTGCTTCAAAGACAACTGCTACTTTCCCCAAGATCTGTCTCTATGAAGAAATTAAATTAACTTCAGGTTAGAAAACGGAATTTTCATCATCTGTAATGCAATCTCATACCTATGCATATTTTTATCTTACTAGAGTTGTATAAGGGATCCCCTTTGCCATTACAGACAGCATTTAAATTTGTGTTTTAATCCTTCACTCCCGGGATCCGAAGGCTGGGCTCGCTCCTTCTCAGGGCAAAGTGCTTCCGGGGACACGGCGGACCCGACCTCCCAACAGGGCAGAACACAACGAACGGACGAAAATAACAAGCAAAACTCTGTTTTGCCATTCCCATCTCGCGCCTCCCGAGGGCACCGGCAAGCGGATCGCTGGGGAGCCAAAGCCCCTCCTCGCCGTGACGGGCACCGGGCCACGCCGTGCCCCGCCGAGCGAGTCCCGCTGCGGACGCCGCTCGGACCGCCCGGGGAGCGGCACCCGGCGCTCGCTCAGCCGCCAGCCCGCCCGCGGCCCGGCCCGGGCCTCTCGCCCCAGCGCAGGCCTCCGCCGAGGCGCCCCGAGGGGAAGCCCCGGCCCGCCCCTCACCTCCTCGCCGGGGGTGGCCGGGCACTTCTTGCGGAGGCAGCCCCAGTTGAGCAGGTTGCCGGTCTGCAAGGTGAGCGTGCCGGCGCGCTCCAGCAGGGCACGGGCGCCCTCCGTCCCCATAGCACTGCTCAGGCGGTGGCCGGCGGGCTCTTCGCGACACCTACGGCTCCGGGCAGCCCCGAGCTGGCCGTGACTCAGCACGGGCACCGGAGCGAGAGGCGGCGCGGGGACGACGGGCGGCGGGGCGGGCCCGGCGCGGAGCGGAGCGCGCCCCGCCTCGCGCTGCCTCAGGCCGCGGGGCCGCAGCGAGCATGCGCCCCCTGGCGGCGGCCGGGCCGCAGCACGCCCGGCGTGCTCTCCGGGGCCGGGGCCGGGCAGAGGGCGGGGCGATGCTTTCGGGGGGCGGGGCCAGGCAGCTGGAGGGCGGGG